TTGTGTCACTACTCAAAGCTATATACGGCGGAGGAAGGCAAAGGTCAGGATTATCTTGAGGTATGGAGATGTAATCCTAACAAGATGAAAAAATAACATCAAGGAACCTCAAAAATGATCGGTAATTACTTTGTTTCTTAGTATCTCCACACCATCTGCGTTTTCACCGTACAGATCACAGTAATACGGCAGAGGCAAGCCGTTGCCGTCCAGTGCCTCAACCTTGATCGTAAAATCACTTTGTACATCTAAAACAGTTATGTTGGATACAAACGTTCACGTCAAATTAATAATCAATAGTATACCACTTTGCACGGACATCTTCGAGCCGCAGAGATGCTTGTGGTTCATCAAGATCAGGGCAAACGCCAATATCAGTATCGCCACGCAACCACCCACCACACCGGGCACCATCACGTACAGTGACATATTATCTACGACGACCTTATTTTACCACGATTATGAACTAATGCCTCATTGAGTACCATTCAAGTAAAGCTGCGCGGATGACGAGTTAGAACCGTAGTCGTTGTATGCGGTGCAGTTGAAAACGCCAAGTTCGTCGCTGTCCAATTTGTACACCTTCAATTTACTGTACACGACGTCACCTGCTTTTGGCAGTTCGTATTTCTAAGACAATTCGTAAGACCTCTTCACCACAGCGACAATAAAATGTTATAAACAAAACATGACTATATCTTATGATTATGCGGAGGACGCTTGTTCTCATTGCTAAATTAAGGAATTAGAATGATTTATCAGCTTGCTTCCAGAATCCTTTTTAATTTACATTTATATTTCTCCAGAAAACAAGCCGGTCTTTCGAGAACCTGGAGTACAAATCGTTTTGCAATTTACAAACTTGAGTCATTTATTCAAAATGAACAGATGCAAGAATAATCCAGATTGTAATGCAGACGATCCGAGAAAGCCGAGCTTCACAGCCAGACTGTTCGTCTGCAAGCACGACTCAATGCAGAAGAGAAGTCAGTGAGTGAAATGCTCTTTGTGAGTTTTGCATGACGTGACTTTGATCATTCCTTCCATTCTCATGCAAATTGAATTACACAACGATTATTTATTTCCAGTTAGTTCTTTCAGCCTGTGAAATTCAACCCTTTCGATCGAAATCAGATATCGAAATACAGCATAGACCCGATCGCTTCGTCTCCTTTTACATTTCAACAACGCATTATTAGCATCGTCTGTGCTGGCCGTATAAACAGCTCATTTACCCATTCAAAAAACGAGGCACAGTTTCCATAAGCTTTGACTTCAAAGAAACATATCTTAAAGAATTTTCTGTCACTTGTATGGATATTCAGCTTTAGTAGACAAAAGCTGTCTACCATTTATCTCAGCAGTCAGTCGATCGGCCGGTTAGCCAATCATTCAATTTCGCAGACCTCTAGGCATTTCGAATTGCGGAGGTAGCAGCGTCAGACAGTATATCCAACGTTCCCAACTTTATGCCATCAGTTGAGCTTTGGTGTAAGAAATCCCCAATCTGGAGCAAAGTCCGTCGATCCATTTGCCCCACGTCATCCTTGGCTGTATCCATGGTCTTCGGCCCGTTGGCAAAGCAACAATTAGTTGTTTCGCCTTCCTTTCTGGAAGCATTCGCTAAACTTGCCAAAACCATCGCCGCTATTGCAGAAGCATCGGTTGTACACCCAAGCTCACTTAGATGTCGGTACTTTGGGCCCTGTCCCAAATCATGAGCCCAGTAATTTGTCTCTAAAACCTCCTTTCATCTGCTTGCACGTGTACTTGGAATCATATGCCACTAAAATGTCGCAGAATTCAGCAGTTCTGTTACATAACAAATAAAATAGATCTCATGATTAGTCCGGGAACCGCTGCCAAGGATCATAACCGATAGGTTCGACGATTTACCTGCACGTGTAGTTCGAAAGATACGTTAGAAATGTAAGACTGTTTTTGCCAAAATACATTACATAATTTTGCTCATTTGCTTGCAGCATACATATTAAACTCTTACATAAAACATTCATATTCAGTATAGCATGAAATATATATCGTGCATAATTAATTAGAATTTTTCAGAAATACTGTCAACAACGTGAGATGAAAATCTATATCCATTGCGAGAATCTTACAAGCGAAACCTACCATCTACTAGAGTTGTGTCACTGCAGCCCAGTTACAAGCTACGGCTCGTCAAAGCAACAAAAAGCAGAATCGATTCCCTTTTAACTCTTTCCATTATTTGATTCAACAAGGCTTCAGTATTTATTGTCTAACAGGAACGACCTTAGGAGGTCCCCTTTTTAATAAATATAACAAGCAATCATTTTTGATGACTCCAGTATCTTCTATAAAATTCAGTACGAAACTTAAAATAAGTAAATTTTAAATGTTTAAATCGTGTACAAAATTTGGTGACCGCATGGAAGAATAATTACATCCATATCGACAGGGTAATAATGAACTTTCAACAACCGCAGGACATGCACCAGAAGAAGGATAATCATTGAATGAAGCTGATGATTTAAATTTGGATATGGATGCCAATCATCTAAACCTCTTATTCAAAGAATCTCCTCATATGGCGGTCAATAACAATGTCATATTTAATTAATTCCTCCCTTTAGGAAGTAAATAAAACAACTGCCTGCATTTACAAGGCTGAAATAAATTTTCCAACCGTTCTCTACTCCATTTAAGCAGAGGAACGAATATCTGACTTCTCGGTTTATACTTAATGTTTCTAGTTGTTTTTATCTCCATGTTTCGTCGCTGAAAATCAGCAACATTAGTAGGTTACCATTTAAAACCGTGGTTCCCATTATCATTTTAAAGCTTAAGGAGCGCGAATGCGGAATAAGAGACCATAACGAGATTTTTCCTTCCATGTATTTCATCATTGTATGCAAATATTGTTGGACAAGTTTTTTTTGGAAGTTTTTTTGCAACGACCGGCTAATTTGACAACCTCAAAAATGAATTAGTGGTGAAACTAACTGAGTCAACAGCGGCGCATAGCGCAAAGATCCGAAACAATCCTTAATGACACCTCGCTTCCCTTATATAAGTGTCATTGCATATGTCTTGCCCATAACCGCTCAGCACGTTCTACGCATGTTCATATCTCAGCAGGACAGAACATTTCAACATGACTATTTTTCAATCGCCAGCTCGCACGTTCTAAGATCCAAACTGTGACAAACATCTGTTTTTACCTTGCTCAATTTTCGGAAATTATTTTATTTTTTGTCATTTCATTGTACATATACTTTTCTGCAAAGCTTCAATACCTGATATCTACTTTTGTACGCTGTACGTCTTAGAAATTTTTTCTTCTCGTCTTTTCTTATTTCTGATTCACTAATTCATTCAGTACTATGCAAGTACTTTTGCGTTTATGCTCAAAAATGAGATGGTGATTCTATTCAAAGAGAAAATTACTCAAGGATAAAAGTACCTAGGACGTAGCTAACTTGAATGTTAAATTAACACTTCAATAGTTCAGCTCATATGCAAATTCAGCTAGTTTACTTCTCTTTCGCCCTCATAATCTCTTACGCTCGTTTTGGAAAATATAAACCTCTGTAAGTAATGAAAATTAAATGGTGGCTATTGGCAAAGTTCCCAGAAAAGTTTGATTTTGGCAATTCCTCATGTTTACTCATTCAGCAATTCGAATTTTGACTCTCATAACAACGTAATATGAAAACGTGAGCATGAGAAAAGTTCATCGAGCAATCACATAACTAATCCTTACTTCAAAATTGTTTTTACTCATTCTGAAATCGATTGGCTGTTGATTTCTGAGCCACTGAATCGACTTTACAGCTGGATGAGCAACGACGGCACAAACGATCTCCGCACTGCGCTGCTCGCTATTCCACAAGCTGCTAACAATATTTACCGAAGGCGGACCTGAAATTTGAATATTAAAATATGCATTTAAGTAACCAGACGATTATGTGATAATGAAACTGGACAACGATGTGAAAGGTAGATAATAAGAATGGATAAAGAGGAGGAAAAGGCTTAAAAGAAGGGAAAGACAAAGAAGAAACCGACAGAGAAGGGAGACATATGATTAAAAGAAAAGGAGAGAAGGAGAAGAAGCAGAAGGTGAAGAGGGAAGTACTAAAAGAAAATAAAGCAAATAGAAAATTGAATTGAAAAGCGTTAACATAATTAACGCATCACTCCTCAAACACCAAATTCTACGTAGTATTGCACCATCCCTGAACAACTTCAAAGAGTTCGAAGTTAGATGATGAAAAAGAGAGTGCGTTTACACAGACTCAATGAGCATCTGGGTTTATTGGCTGAAATTAACATTCGTTGTTGGCAGTGTGAATAACCAATAACAGTCGCTTTTAGAGATTAGATGGTCGGTCCTGGGTGAACTGGAAAATGTTCCATAAATAGAACAGATTACTTGGCAATAATAGCATATAACGACACTGCAATATCAAAAGTTTTTGTACCATTGACATTCAAAACGAAGTTCAGACTTTGGACTGGAAAACCGGGTACAAATCCATCGCAACGATAATTTCCTTGGTGGTCCGTTCGCACTTTTTCTATGACAAATCTAAAAGTGATGCAATCAGCAAAAAGCGGAAGACCGGTTAGAAGCAAATGTTTTCAGCAATCGTGTAAGAAATACAATATTACTGTCCCATAATCCTTTATCTAATTGATTTAGAATAAATTTGTGGAAGTTCATGGATCTTTCAGGCTCTGCTTTATATCCTTGAGCTCCTTAAAAGTTTCAGGGGGTTTAATGACATACTCCTTCCACAAAAATGGATTTGGAATTGGAAGTACTTGCTTCAATGATTGGCGTTTCATTTGTGCAGTGGTATCCTGCACTACTCTGCGGGAAATGGGTTCTTCTTTTGGCAGTACTCTATGCAGTCATATGGAGCCTTAGATTGACTTACCCATGAACGACGGTAGTCTGCTGTTGGGGCAGATGGGAGTACCCTGCTAACACACACTTTGACATCAGACACGGTGACGCTCAAACCCAATCTTAAAAATTCATATGGGCACAAACTAAAACAGATGTACTGCAAAGCGTCCCCACATTAAAGGAAAGGCATAATGTTTTCAATTCTGGGCCTGTTGTTGAAATTTTAGGTTGCTTCATCGCTTGAGGCACCACCCAATACAGCTGTCAGTAGTTTATTGATGATCCGTTTCCCTACAAACATTATAATAATGCATTATCCATGTACAGTTTTGTTATTAGAACTGTGCCCTGATGATGTTACTCGAATGGTAACGAAACGCACAGGCAGTAAGCTGCTGCTAGTAAGCTGTTGTTTGGTGTCCTAACTCATTAATCGGCGAACATTCTACAATTTTAAGGAAGATACTTGCTACTCTTCAATAAAGCTCCTTCACAGACGTGTTCTATGAATATAAAACGGTTCCATATTTATGAATGTCATAACTTTTCGCCAACGTTATTCAAGATACCGAAAAAGCAGGACAGAACTTCTGTACATATTGTACTTGAACATTTTAATATGATGCATGTACTCGAGCGGATGGTACAGATCAGAATACTGTGCGGCTAAGAACTACTCTTGATCACGATATCTTGACATGAGCGCAGAACATTGAACGTTTGGATTTGAAGCGATTTCAGTAGTGACAATCAACAGCGTAAAATACGCTTTAACACTACATAACGCATAAGATAGTATGGTCAATCGGATGACTGACCGATACCGACATTTCGGCCCATGTCTCACGGGCCTTCTTCAAGGTAGGTGGCTGGTAGGGCTTTGCGAATGTGGTTGGTCGCCAGCGGCAGATGACGGTTTCCTAGTCAGAAGCCCTTATGTTCTCAAGCTGTTTTTCTATCATGACCACCGTGCACGAACGAAATACTCTATCGTCAGTGACAATCAACTGAGATATGCAGATGTTTACTTTCCAAGCTGTCTGCTTCTCTGTGAAAACCGAACCTCAACAAACCTCGGCCAACATACCAGCGAAAGAACACGAGATAAACAGATCTGCACTGGAAGGAAAATGGCATCTTCAACGATGCGATTTAACGCTACCTCTTCTAAGAGTGGTCACTAACATGAAATGCAGCGGAAGTCACAAATCGTAGATGTTCAGGCAACGAATCGGCTTGAGTGATCATCGTAACAAAAACAACTGAGCAATAAATCGATGAAGAATGAAAATAACAACCCAGAATCGAAACATTAATAAGAATTGCAACAATATAATAATGTAAACGGAACCCAGATGCATAAAAACAAAATCTGGCGAAGCTACGGATGAACAGACCTTCTCTGAAAGAATTTAAGGCGTTGTGAATGTGCGACAATTGCTACTGCTCAAAATCGCCTTGCCTGTCGATCAGAAAAAGTTGACAAATCTCCAGATTGCATAATTTCGTTTTGAAATATTGATGCAGCGAATTTTCTATGCCTGCGCGAAGTTTCGATGCTTCGTACAAATTGCTATGAAAAAGACATAAAATGAATCTTGGCCCTAAAACTTGTTAGACGCTGCCTAAGGGAAAGAATGCGTGAATTTTCCTCAGAACCTAAGAAAAGTGTCACTAAAGAACTGAGTCACGCTAACGACGTGACGAGGTCGCAGTGTCATGAGTTTTGAGGCACAAAAAGTCATGAGTTTTTCGCCATGTTCTACCTCGGCAACAAAGACTCATCAACTTGGAAGCAATTTTCAGCGATCGTTTCTGTACAAAAAAGATTCTAGCAGCAAGTGCTTAAGAAATTTAGGCTTTGCTAAAGCTCTTTTGCATGTGCGACCCATTCATTGAAGATGTCCTGTCGACGTTTCAATGAAACTAGGATATTATGGATGTCGCGCAGCAGGCTGAAGTGCACAAATGGGTGTATTTTCAATCAGTGCGCATTAAACGAGATTCTGTTGACCCATGTAAATACGGATGATCCTCTAAAGAGAAGATCCAAAAACCATGGATCAGGTCAGCTCAAAGACATGCAAAATTTGCCTACTACCGGCCTTCCGTGGTAATCGACCAACATTACCGTCCGTAGCACAATGCAAAAAAATTATTCAAGAATGTCTGTTAGTATATTCCCATTTCTGTGGGGACCGACAGAGTTATATGGGCAGAAAACCTTGTTACTAAAATGAGGTAATCGCTAATCACTAGTTTAAAAAAACGCTTTTTTCACTTTGACAATGGTGGACTGATTATACAGACGATTCTTCCACGATCATAACATTGACACTCAATATTGTTGACTTCTTACTTGCTTGAGGAGTACGTTTTCTTCCTTAACCTAGAATGGACCTAAATCTATCCGAGAAAATATAGTACCGCATAAACATCATAACCTGTTCGTACAACTAAGGATGTTAAATGACTAGTGACTTCTCGAAGACCAGATTTCATGGCGCATTGCATCATTCACTACTCCGTGAAATCTGGTCATGGTGACGTCATTCGTTATTTGATACACTCCGGGGTACGAACAGCTTTTGATGTTTACGGGTTAGGGCAGAAAGAGCACCGGCTCCTAACACACCGTCTGTGATTAGCGTTAAGTGATTCTAGCGGACGAAATAATGCGAGATGCATTTGCCACTGCAGATGCTCGAATGCCATGGAGCCGTGGAGTGCTTACATGTTCCTCTAGGAAACTATGGGCAAGGGAGCAGTTCAATACACTCAATGAAATCTTGCTGTGGAAAAATCATTCGTTATTAAACAATGCAGTAAACATGTCAAGCAAATACTCCTGAGATAGCTGGGACTTATGAGTACTACTAGCATCGAAGCTTGCCTCAGAGAATCCTTCAGGACGGGAAAGCCTCTCGTTTTTAACTAAAACACTGTACGGTTCCATGATTACTATCGAAATATTATATTTAATCATATAGCATCTTGTCCTACATTAACCTTTTGCTTGCTGATGTCAAGTAAGCTTTTTTTACCTCTAGCCTTGCGTTGGCAAAACACGTCACTAGTGCCTTTGAAACCTGTTTAGTGTGATTAGCGTCCAAAATCTCAGAATATGAGCAGCGCAAAAACGGAGCAGGATGAAAGGCTATATCTCAAGAAACTTCAAGATAATTGTATTTACGTACGTATCCATCCCGAAAGCAACGCCTCAGGAGCTTGAGCTAATTAAAGTCTGTTCAGGCTACTGATCAGGCCTGTATTGCGCTGTTTAAGGTTCTCGTTTTCTGCACGTATTGCCTGGTTGCTCCATGCTTGTTTATCCAATAGCCAATTAAATGTGAATAGTCAGTTCTTTGTAATACAACCAGTACAAAAGATATATTACTGCAGTCAAGTATAATACATCATACACTATATCAGTGTTTCGGCGCTGCCGCTGCAAGACACAAATTACTGTATCGTGGACGGAACCATTCCCCACGTCTCTATCTTATTCCTTCTTGCACGCTGGCCTCTTGATCAATGCATACCGTTTCGGTTCCCACACGAGAGGCTAATGGACTAAAGTAAACTGTTCATGCTGAACCGGATTGTCCAACAAGGCCAGCCTCTTTTTCTTAGTTGCAGGTCTACGTGGGGACACCCATGCCCGGAATAAATTAAGATAATTAATTCTTTATGAGGATGTACAATTTAACCTCCATTAACTATTGAAACTAACGCTGTTCTTGTTCTTTTGTTAGTACCACACTCTTCTTGCCTTACAGCGACGCTGACATGACTGACATAAGGTACAGGTGGATTTTTGTAAAATGGGTTTCTCTCTTTCTACCTATTAAGCTCTGATTAAATGGAATTCTCGCTGAAGATGACAGAGTGACAAAGCTGAGATGCTTAAATTGGCTCCGCTGTGTTCCTTCCCTCATTGGAGACTTTAAAGTAATGTAATGAGAAGTGGTATCTAAGTCTGTTCAACAGTGTGTATTGTATATCTGTTAAAAGACACACTACCATTGCAATCATCCATGGTCTTCTATTTTCATTTTCGAGCCTTTTGATATCTGAATCAATGGGACGAATCATTTCCAATTAGAGTCTCTCATCATAGCAACACTGCACAATAACACGGTAAAAAAGTTCCTTAATGGGTTTTTCTACCACTTCTTGAAAAAAGTATTTTAGATACCCATTCTTGATAAATGGTGTCAACAAAAACTTGCCAAAGCGGAAGCCGCAATAAATTTTCTCGTAACCAAGAACAATAAACACAAAAACTTAATTCTCAACATTTGACAAGAGCACAAAAAACCCAATCTTTGCTGTTGCTGAATTTTTCAGACCAACTCAATTCGAACGAATTTAAATAGATTTGACACTTACTAAAAGGCATGGTTCACATGCTTTAAGCCCTGTGCATCGCATTTAATCGGTTCTAAAATCTATCAGTTTACACGTCTATGTGCCCTCATTCGCAATTTATGATTTAGCGAACGCCTTAATAAAGAAAGCTCAGACCGTGTCCAATGATTAAACCAGTACTTATTGAGAATATCTTCGTAGCCATTTCATATGCTTTGAATGCAACACAGATAATAGCTGATTATTTGATGGTCATTCTAAAAACATGCATAAATCACAGTATATTTGCACAAAACGAGGCAATTTTTTCAGGTGGCCAAAAGACCTTCTGACTGCACACGTAACAACCGCTAAGAACAACAAATGGACTTCCGAAGACAGTCAGTCAACCTTCCTACCTTGAAGAAAAGCCATGAGACATGGGCCAAAACGTCGATACTGGTCAATCATCTGACTGGCCACGTTGTTTACGTCGTGTACAATTAAACGGTGTTTTATGCTGTTTGTAAATAATGCTTTTTTGCATATAACCGATGTAGTTTTCAGACGATAAGTTAGCCTTTATTAAAGCCGATGGTAGCATCACATAATCACAAGTCAAATCATTTATTGCTACAAGAAATAAGAGTTACTGACTGCCCAGTGGTTCAAGACAGAGAGATAATAATGCGCAGAAAAAAATATACAACATATCATGAGGTTTGAACATGATTTGAACTGAACAAAGTCGGAAGCATTTCCTGCTCCATGCTGGGAGATGAACCTTAACTGATAATAGGACAGCATTGATGAAGATCAGACGATGGAACATAATTTCTGAATGTTTTTTAAGGACGTTCAATGGCACGGTAACTGCTATCCAATGTACAACCCCGGATGTGATTACTTGCATCAGAGATCTGACGTTCTCATTTGAAATTTCTGCCACCATGAGCCGTTTCATAGAAGAAAAAGAATAAGAACCAACAATGTTAATGCCATCGTAAGACAAGATGGATCGATGATCCAATCTTCTCTAACATATAGAGTGTTGTCAGCGAAACATCTGGCGGTTTTAAATATTGGTTTCAATAATGGGATACAATATTTGACTAATTTAAAGTGATAACAATGAAGTATTAATTAAGTTGCTTTATGTTTCATTTGCAATGAAGAAGCGTTCAAATAAAGCTTTGAAACTAGTCTATCTATCTACGTTTAGCACAATCAACGATCTAGACATCAGCTGTAAAAGTATGAACCTCTTCCACGAAAACTAAAACCATTATTAGTCTGAATTATAACGAAATAGTTATCTGACTTACTGTGAACCTTTGTGCAGCACCCTGTTTTCTCCTAATTTGTTCCAGGTGATAGTAGGTGGCGGGTTTCCGTCCATTTTGCACTCCAATGTGACCGTGCTGCCTTCGTCTACGACTTTAATCGTGGTATCTTTCTGAAGTGCCTTTGGAGCATCTGAAAATAAAATTCAAATAAATACTGGCATATTTGCGAAATAGTATATGATCAAATGCCACAAAAATTGTTCTAGCATTTTTATTCCCTGCTGAATATGGTGCCTAAGCCTCCATGCTCCACAGGCATGCGTCTTTACTTCTACTGCTTCAGATTTAATCCTCAGCTGGCCAGCATTCACATTTAGATCGGTCAGGCATATCAAACAATTATCTAGACAGAAGAACTAAACGGAACAGATTTCCATTATCTTCATTTCGTCTACAGAAACCAAGATGAACGACAAAACTGACAGTTTTACTGCGTCCAACAGCGTTAGCATTGACGCATAATAAGAGTTAAATGGCAAGTGGGCTGACTGCATTCCGTTTCTAGCACGAGTGACCTCGGTAGATGAAAAGAAGGAGGTTGGCTCTGTTAGAAAACTGGTTAAGCATAAGCCATTTACTCCAGCCCATGCGCTGTTTGGCGAAAGCCGACGAAAGGTTAACGTTTTCCATGAGTTCAGCATGCAATACAGAGAAACAGTTCAAAGACAGGTGGAGAGAAATTTTTCTTTCTAAGCACGGTGTCTTGTAGCAAAATTGTTCAAAAGCCAAAAATACAGCTGGTATCGCAAACCAGGTCTGTTCTTCTTATGCAAATGGCTCAAGGTGGTTATCTGAAGAAGCAACAAACAGCAACAAAGCAACTGAATACGCGCAACTTTACATTTTGTGCAAAACCAGGTAGTTCATTTCTGTTTGAAAGCAACGCTGTTGGATTTGGAATTGTCAACAAAAGATCTGCATGATAAATTTTCTTGCATCTGGCTTATCCCAATTTATGCAGAATTGTACTGATCATATTGTCCCATTCTGTACTGCTGAGTAATTTATAATATGGACATCACCGTTTAACTAGAGGAACCGTAGCACTGCGCCTCTGCTTTATTGGAATCTGTGAGTCTAATGCGAAAATTCCGAGCCTCCTTAAGAAATGATCATTTAGACACTGCTTATACATTCGGAACAGCCGTGCTCTTGATTGACCCTTTGATGTCATTAATGATAATTATTGGATTTTAGTAAGAAAAGACAACACAACAACGAAATTCGCGCTGAAACGTAATGTCCTTACCGAATCGTGCAGTTAGCTTGAGTTTCTAGAAAGAAAATAGAAAGGATGAAGGGGAAGTTTGTAACCCATCGGGATGTCGGGATGTTGGCTTCCTGTACACTTCCGTAATCGGAATTTTTCGTGTTACCTTTGTCACCCTCAGCATCTATGAACTCACTATTTTAAAGGCAATTGGTGTCAATGAACTTTATTTAAGTGAACGTTAAGGCACAAAATGAGTTGCTAGAAACCTGAAATAAACAAGTACTAAAAAATATCAGCCGTTAAAGTGGATCCATGCCAGGCTGATCAGAGTCTGGTCCGAAATGACAGTTCTTCTGTACTGGGGTCGATCAACCATCGGGCAGGGGAACTTAACGACTCACTTTCGGTAAGTTCTTGTCCGGCAAGTGCGAGGAACGCAGTTGAACCTTCAACTGGCTAC